GGACATGTGCAGAAAATTAACTCTTTTGGAAAATGTTGGTGGCCCTGAAAAGGGCCGATGGTAGTACAGGCTTAAAGCCTTTGCAAGATGATGATGATGGCCGCAGCGAAGGAAACCTCAACCTCGCTACGATGAATGGACATTCGGAAGAGTCTCGGCGCGGCTGCTGCTGGACACGGGTTGACTAGGTGGCTGCGACGGGTTGGAAGGACGCAGTGAAGGATACCTCAACTTCGCTACGAGAAATGGGCACTCAGAAGAGTCTCGGCCGGTTGCTTCAGGATTAGAAGCTTAGTTGCTACTGTTTTGCTGGTCCCTCTTGCTGATCGTCACGATGGTTCTACTTCCACACAAAGGTTGTTGGTTATGTGACTAGATGAGTGAAAATGAAAAATACATCAGAGATTTTCGAAAATGTCATTGAGGTTTAGTGTTTACCTATGGTTAATTGATGATTAAATAAAAATTATTGCAGAAAGTAGGGGCACGGTTTGTTGGTTGTGAGGTGCTACGATGAATTAGCACTTGGAAGAATCTTGGCCTGGCTGCTGCTGGACACGGATTGACACGGTGGCTGTGACGGGTTGCAAGGGCGCAGCGAAGGATACCTCAACTTCGCTACGACAAATGGGCACTCGGAAAAGTCTCGGCCCGGTTGCTTCAGGATTAGAAGCTTTGTTAATTTTGCTGATCGTCGCGATGTTTCTATTTCCACACAGGGGACGTTGCTTTGTTGGTTGTGACTAGATGAGTGAAAATAAAAATGCATCAGATTTTCTAAAATGTCATTGAGGTTTAGTGTTTACCTATGGTTACTTGATGATTAAAAATAATTGCAGAAAGTAGAGCACGGCTTGTTGGTTGTGAAGAGGCGGTTGGCTGGCGACTGCAGGAAGTAGAGCTATGTGGCGTTTTGTTGTTTGTGAAGGGGCTCGTTTGTACCGGAGGAAACGTCGAGAGACTCAACAGGCAAAGGCAACAGGATGCTCGTATTGATATTTTCAGAACAAGACAGAGCTTAACCGGAGGAAGGCCGAAACCCTCAACCGGCAAAGGTGACCCGACTGTGTGAAAATTAGTGCAACACGAATTGGCAGCAGACAACAATGTGAACAACAGCCGAGGGTACGAAAAGTACGTGATGTATCTTTTCTGTGTAAGTGGAGCAGTATCCTTTGCAAACACCATATCTATACACGAGCCCTTCAACGTGGTTGGTTGCTGGGAATCCGAGACCAAGTTCAAGTTCAACAGGTTTGCAATGAATTCGATGAATTTGATGTTCTCTGCCTTAGAGACGTGTGGCGTTTTGTTGCTTGTGAAGGGGCTCGTTTAAAGCGGAGGAAACGTCGAGAGACTCAACGGGCAAAGGCAACGTGATGCTCGTATTGATATTTTCAGAACAATACAGAGCTTAACCGGAGGAAGACCGAAACCCTCAACTGGCAAATGTAACCCGTTTGTGTGACGTGTCTCACTAATTTGCAGCAGACAACAATGTGAACAACGGCCGATGGTACGAAAAGTACGTGATGTATCTTTTCGTTGCAAGTGGAGCAGTATCCCTTGCAAACACCATATCTATACACGAGCCCTTCAACGTGGTTGATTGCTGGGAATCCGAGACCAAGTTCAAATCCAACAGGTTTGCCATGAACTCGATGAATTCGATGTTCTCCGCCTTAGAGACGTCGATATTGAAGTCCCCAGCTACAATGATTGGAGTTGGAAAATGTTTGTAGAGGGTCAGGCTTCTAGCCATGAACGCTTTGGCGAGCTTGATCGGTGTGTTCGGTGAAACGTACACGCTGAATAGTACCATTTTGCACCCATCAACTTGAATTTCCGCAGCGCAAATATCTCCATAGTTTGCGGCTTCAACGAAAATGGGATCATGTCGTTCACCCAGCTGAACAATCGTGTGCGACGTTGATACTGGTGAAATTGATGCCTTCTCGTAAATGGCCACACCTCCTGCCCTCACATTTTCTCGCTTGAATTTCGCTATGCATATGTAACCTAGAAAAAATAAGCAGAATTATATAAAGTCAAACAATTGAAAGAATTCATTTACCTGATATTTCCGAAGACTCATTGTCGTCCATCCAAGTCTCACTCAGCGCCAAGAAATCGGCTCTGGTCATGACATGGTCAGTCGACAGGTCCTTGGAATGCGCATTCAGGCTCTGGATGTTCAGGGTCATCAGTATAACAGAGTGATCAGCGTTATCGAAGAACGCGATCAACTCGTCACTGAGCGTCAACAATTTGTGGTTTTCTAACCGTTGCATCTCGTCACGGAGTTCCTTCATCTTGGGGGTGTTGCTGCCCTTACCGTGATGAAACACGAATGAATTGGCGGAGTTTGTCATGTAGAGCCCCTGCACTGAACTCACACGTGACATGGCGACGTATACCAACTGCTGCTCCTGGCTCTTGTCATAATCGATAACAATTTCCGCGAAAGTAGCTCCTTGTGACTTGTGAATTGTCAACGCACAGGCACTAACGATGGGAAATTGTATTCGCTTGCATTTGATTACACTGCTTAGCTTGACGTTGACCGATCGCTTGTAGATCGGTGTCCAGTCTTGTTGCAGTACGCCAGGTTTTGAAAATACAAGCGGCCTGGATTTCACCCGAAGTTTCGCACCAACAGCGTCGTTATCAAATTTGAACCACAAGCGACACGCAGACTGCTGGGGGCCATCATCGGTGTGCTCAATGTACCTGAGTTCGCCGATTGCTCCATTGACGAGACCGTCCTCTACTTCTACGTTGGTCGTTATCATGTATGACATTCCAACAACCAATCGTAGAAGGTATGGAAGACAACCTGTTTCAGCGACACTCATTTTGTGTAGTTTGGTACGAGCACTGGTTAGCTGAGCAGCGTCTTGGTATCCGCTGATTACATCCTCGGCAGTGCAATCCCATCCATCACGGTTGCTCAAGGCACCATGATTATACGCTTCAACAGCGTTATTGCGATGGTATAATCGTATTGCGTTCGGAACATTCTCCATGCACCATTCGACTGTCCGGAACCTGCTTTCTACCAGCTTGGTCTCACAATCCGACAACCGCTCACCATTTCCGATCTTTGTTAGAATGGAGGAAAACTCAACATCGGTTTGTCGCATCACTTGGCGCAAAGGGAAGTAATCCAGCGTTTGCCATAGTGCTACACCACCGATGGAGTTGTTCGCGGACTTAAAAGCGGGTCTCGCATTCACCGGAGGAAGCTGTCGGAAATCGCCACACATGATTACGTCTTTTCCGCCGAACGGAAGATCGTAATCACCGGTGATGCTTTGAAGCCGCGTGTGGATTGTATTGAAAATGTTTGCTCCGATCATGCTAATTTCATCGATTATTATTAGCTTGATGTTGGCAAACGATTGTCGATACAGCTGCAGGAGTTCGAACCGGAGTTGCCCATGGTGTCTTCGATCCATGGTTATGTGGAACGCCGAATGGACAGTTGTTCCCCCGATAGCCACGGCAGCCTTTCCTGTCGATGCGCAGGCGACATAGGCGTTATTAAGTGCATTATGTTGCTGGCTAAAGCGATTATATGTCTCCATCAGGACATGGAGCGTAAACGTTTTACCGCATCCAGCCGGCCCGGTAAAGAACAACTGGAGAGGTTTTCTGCTGTCATCAAAACAATGCAGGTTGTCGATTACTTGCAGTACAAGAGCTCTCTGTTCAGCATTCGTTTTGCGAACCAGAGCACAGTAATCCTGCTTGCTCATAACGGTCGTCCGCTGTTTTATGACGGCAGATAGAGCGTTCGTGGGTAGTAAGCGGATGTCATCATCGTTGGGTTCCATCACGATGGCTCTGGTACATTCATCACCCTTTTCTGTTGCTACCGCCTCCTGTGCATCTGGAGTTTCCTCAACGCTTACCTTCAGGTACTCATCGATTATCTGCTCCAGGTTCAGATCACAGTCGTACTCTTTACGTTTCGCAAGGATTGCCTGTTCGTGCTGATCGTATAGCTGCAGGAACTTGTTTTGGTCGAGAATATCACACAGCTCATTGCGAAACGGGACGAAGAGGAGTACCATTTCACGCTTGTAGTCCGAAAGCTTCGACATGTCATAGCTACACCATTGCAACACTCGGTGAAATTTCCGAGCCCTGTAAGAGTTGCTGCTGCGTTGCTGCTGGTAGAGGGCTGCGAAATCGGCTAGACACAGATCTTCCAGGTCGTTACGAGCTTCATACTTCTGTATGATATTCAAAGTCCATACATCAGTCGAATCGTCACTGATGCTTTCGTCGTCCATTCGCTGATTTCGTTTTCTGGACTTAATTCGCTCGTGCGGCCACATCGTTGGAATGAACTGCGTCGCTCGGCTTGCTTCCGACATCGGCTGACGTAACAAATACCACGATGCTTCTTGAGCAGACATCTCCACAGAATTCAGCATCTTGATGCTGACCTTCTTCAAGAGAGCGGTGAAGTCTTGATCAGGGAACTCTTCTTGCAGCTTGATGAGATCCCGCTGGAGACAGCTCACTCCACGGTTGGTCTTATTTACGTATTCAACCACGTACGCAGCGCAGGTGTACTCGTCCAGGATGAATTGCAAGTCCATGTTCGAGCCGAGGTGGCTTGCTATCCACGGGTTGAATGGGTTTGTCCATAGTTCATTCATGGATCGCTTGAACAGGACTGTTGGACGGCGAATTGATACTCCAATGACGGCTAGATAACAATCAGGAGTGCAATTACAATCGCTAAGAAATGCTTCCAATGTATCATATGTTTTCGTTTCCAGAGCCTCTCGCATTATCTTGGCTTTCCGGGTGAGCCGATCCCTGCGGCTATCATCGGACGCAATCGGAAGCAAAACTAGTGTCCGATCCATCGGCCAGTACGGAATATTGAACCGACAGTGGTTTTCGTTCCGCTTGAAACATGTGAAAGTATGCTTATGGACCTATAATAATAAAAGGTTTAATAAATAGATAATTTTAAACTAATATTAAATACATAATAACATTGATCTTACTTGATACCCGTAAGTATTCGGCAAATCTCTGACGCTAACGGAACAGAGATCTTTAATCAGCTGTACGGTTTTTGGCATATTTTCACTGATTGCTTCCCGGGGATCCTTGTTCAGCCATAGCAAGATGTGCGCGTGAGGACTTCCACGGTGCTGAAATTCAATCCGCTTGAAATAATCGGCCACATAGTGCTTTCCGAATGGACTGTAGTGCCGCGACATCAGCAGGAGCATGATAGTGTCAACCAGCTTGTTGAAGTACACACAGCACGTGACTGGATCGTCATTGACCAGAGTTGCTCTTTGTAATGCAGTCAATTCCTGGATAGGATCTGTTAAGTCATTGCCATTGTGTCCCTCTGACAATCGATGTAGGAGCTTCAACAAATGGGGCCACTTCATCTCATTTGCACTGAGTGTGAGGAACATCGTAGGCTTTCCCAATTGTCGCATCATGGCGAACAAATCTCTCTTCCTTTGTTGCCAATACTGTACTGAATTCGGTATTGACTTGAGGAAGGATAGATTTCGATCAATGCACTGCTCCATGAATTCGCGGTCCTTAAGGTTGGCACGTGTAATATTCGCGGTCCCCATGCACTTAAAAGTGCATTGCAAGCCTTCGGAAACTCTAAGGCGAAGAACTTTCATTGCCATATACAACAAATGTTGTGGTTTGGCCCCACGCCTGTCTCGGCGACGAGTTTCACTGGATGCCATCATGAAATATGTCACCCGAACACCTGGCTTGAATTTCCGTGGATGGCCGAAATATATGGCAGGAAAAGCTAGCTCTTCACCGTGCTCGTCGTAAATCAATGACAGAGGAACCCTGTTTTGCGCGGGAGCGATCTCCAGGCATTTGTCCTCATTCCAAAGGAGCGTTTCCTGTTGCCCGAGCAGCAATTCGGTCTCGTTATCCACGGCAATGGTTTCCAGCTCAATTTGAGGATCCACTGCAGGGGTTTCAAGATCATCTATGGCGATCTGATCAATTGTGATCCCGTAGTGGCGATACAGTGGTGTCGTAATCAAATAAGAAAGCCACGCTTTAACCGTAGTTTTCTTTATAAAGCCGGACAAGTACGATGACTTATGGATTACGTGCTTTTTGATGAACACGTTGAAGGCCTGATCATCATCGAGCTGACGGGGAAGAGAGTGTACCATTTGTGCAACATCCACGGGACAATTGATCACTTGCCCGATAATAGAATAGCTGCCTGTAATTGAAAACATAGTTGATAAATTATAAGTCATCAAGCATTGCAATTTCATTTTACCTGCTGCAAATCGCAATCGGCGGATTTGCATGAATGGCAACCGAGGGGATACCAACCGTTCCGTGACGACATCAAGTGGTGGCAGTCCAGATGGCTTGTCTGGAAATGCGAAACCGTTCGATTTTGCGAAAGCCGGAACTTTTCCTCGCTTCAGATTGCTTTGGCAAGTCTGGCAAGCCAAAAATCCTTCAACGGATTGAAAAGATCCACTGTCAACCAACGCAGCCGCACCCACTTCTGTCAATGGTTTCAAATCATTGGTAAACCATAGTCTGTCGCATATGTCGCATACAGCACCGAACACGTTATCCATGAACCGCTTCGTGAACTCACGATTAGCGCGATCAAAATTTGGTGGTAAAATAGACTCTAAAAAGGAATAATAACAATAACATAATTATTTTATATGCACGTTGACATTTTCGCCTCAATTACGTAACGAATGCACTTGAGATTACTTTTCGTCAAAAATCTATGAAGTTTAAGGTTTTACTCACCCTGACTTGAATGCTCAGGAAACGATGTATCGATTTCCATAGTCTCCAACGGCGTGGCAATATCGGCTTGTATTTCGAAACCGGAAAGCGATGGAGAGATAATGACCGTATCGGGGAAATGTTCCATGACTACAGCATCACCGGCGAAAGCAGCTTCATTGTTAAACAAAGTCGGCAGAATAAAACAATTGTCACCTGGTTCATCGACGATGCCTTGCACTCTGTTTGTTTCTTCAACAACAGAACGCGGCGGAGGAAACACTAAAACACACATTTGAAAAAGCAACATTCCTTTGTCCTAAACCCTCAAATGGTTTTAAGTACAAATAAAACCATTTGAAATTACAAATCCAACTATTTGAAGTTCAATATATTAATTTTGTCGAACCTCTTAACGGAATCCCTTTATGAAGAGCTTTTGAGTGTGTTGATTTATTTCCTTTTAATTCCGTTATTAATTGCTTATGTTTTGACAGATATTTAGTATTTCGTCTACTTCTTGCAGACTTCATCAGTGCCAAGTAGTGTTGTTAACTTTTCATCGAGTACAATCAGTAGATAAGTAAATTTGTTTCCTTTGCGTTAATTCTTGCTAAATTTTATGACCATTTCCCAAAAACCGCCATTCAAAAAGTAAAAAAAAAAAATGAAAGTGGTGAGCGGGGGGTGAGCTAAAATTTTGAGAATCCGTAGAATTACTACGGCGCTATTAAAAAAATCCGTAGATATCTGGAAAATCCGTAGAATGTTATGGTCGGTCCGTAGATCCGTAGGAAACCTAAAAATCCGTAGATCTACGGATAAATCCGTAGAACTGACCACACTGGTGCCAAGTGAAGTGGTGTTGATCACTTGGCACTGATGAAGTCTGCAAGTAGTAGACGAAATACGCGTATCTGTCAAAAGATAAGCAATTAATAACGGAATTAAAAGGAAATAAATCAACACACTCAAAAGCTCTTCATATTTGAAGTTGATAAAATATTCTGTGAAAATGCATATTCTATTTCGAATATATTACTCATAGTGTAAATATAATGTTGTACAACCAGCACATGGGCGGTCGCGAGGGGCGCGCACTTCCAGGTATGAATGCGTGATATTTAAAATACATCGCAGTAATTTAAATACTTTGATGACAGTAATAATTTGAATTTAAATACTTTTAGCGGTATTGAAAGTAATCAACAAATAATTAATGATAATGAATGTAATTAAAAATAATTTAAATGTATTGAAAATAATTTAAATTTAAAATTCTGCTGGTATTTATGGAAATTAAGAGTGTATTTAAAGTAATGAATGCAGTAATGGCAAGATTTTAAATATTTTGTCAGCAGGCTGCGTAGTATTGATAGTCTAGTGCGTGCCCCTCGGGCGGTCGTGTATAACTACATTGCAAACCACGGAGATAGAGAATAAATCAAATGTCGCAGCCTATTTTTTCCAAACACACAGCAAAAAATAAATTTTAATATTAAATCCATTAGGATACGCTTCAATCATGTCGAAAATCTCATGTAATTTTTATGGCCACAAAAATAAACAAATGCAGTAAAAGCAGCGTAATGTCAGTTCATGTACTGTATTAATGATAATTTTGCCCTTTTTGGCAAGTATTATTACACCATATTTTTGAAACGATTGAAGTGCATCCATGTGATATCAAAATTAATTTTTTGCTGTGCAGTTTATTGTAATGACATTTTAGCTGCAAGCTTGCATGTGACAGTAAATAACCAACTCCCTTATTTACGCTAATTTTAACATCTATGCTTATGAGTGGTTAGTATTCATTCTCATCTTTTAATTCCATTCAATAAACATCAAATAAATGCAGCAAGAAATCAGCAACATTCTACTTGACATAAATTTATGTCGCGCCCGCAGCCGGTCTTGTCTGCTTCTTTGTGCAAAAATGTTCTGTCGCTGGCAGAAAACAGTTTAGAAATAAAACAGTAAGTAAAGGTTATCTTCCATTTGATTTTAAGTGGAATCGACACTGATGAAAACTGCACATTGTAGTCGAAATACGTATCTGTCATGGATACCAAAATTAATTAAGTGGAATTAAAGGGAAGATAACCTTTACTTGCTGTTTTATTTAAATCATTCCGCTAACAACCCAATTTCATTGCTTCAGTTAAGAAGCAATGACATTTTTGCCGCTTGCCAGTTCGTTTGAGTGTGTCGACACAATGGTCATTGCGAAAAGTATCAAATGTTAAGGAAAAAAAGTCAAACTCCATGACTCGTGTCACCACTGATCGAAAAATAACTATTGTCACCGGTTTTATCCAAAACGCTTTGCGCTGTTAGATAACTCGACCACGGAGCACAGCATATAGATTATGAAGTATCAAGAACATAATTAATCACACTGCACCTATTGACAGATTTGACAGATAAATACAGATAAATTTCATTTGGTGACCCATTTGTTTGTACAAAAAAACTTTTCAACATCATTAAACAAATCATTTTCGCTCATTCACTTGATGAGAATTCAGTGCTTTGGACGATGGCAGATCGATAACTAATCTATCTTCTTTTCCAATTCCCTTAGGGGCTGTTCATTAACTACGTAGACAGTTTTTTGGTATTCTTGACCCCCCTCCCCATGCGTAGACAATTGTCCATACACAATTCTTAAAATTTGTATGAACCGTGAACAATTGCCAAACCCCCCCATACACTGTCTGCGTAGTTTATGAAAAGCTTCTTATAAGTGGCTGGATAAAATTTTTAAATGAACCTTTTCAATATGTATCGAATATATAAATCGATCATTTCTCAATAACTATGCATTATGAATTATTAGTAAAATGCAGCAGAATCCATGAAAAATCGAAATAAAATAATTGGATTTTCTCAGCTGAGGCAAAGTGATACTTGCGACCTATTGAAAAATCACTCCAGAATATTGAACTTCACTGTAAATAACATCCCTTCTGTTGATAATGCTTCATAACCAAGGGGGGGAGGTGGCTGTCATATACGAACAATCGTCGCCTACCTCGCATAACTGGTTCCGAACGTAAACAAGCCATATGAAACCTACAGGGCTTGTTTACGTTTGGAACCAATTTCATACAAGAATGAGCAGTAGGCTGATTGGCCATCACCTCCCCCCCCAGTTCATAACAAGAAATTTTACTGTCGGAGCTGTGATTTTGACATTTCCCGGAATGTCTTTTCTCGGAATAACCCGGTTTCCTGAACATTCTTTTACCAATAACATGAAATGTAGACGGCATGAAACTGGGAAAAAGATCATTCAAAACCAATGTTGGATAAATGTTATAGTTATGCTATTGTCAGGTTTATGTCGGATTTAGTTAGGGCTGATATCAGATTACGTCAAGTTGAAGGTGGGGTAATGCTGGGTTGAAGAAAAATAAACGGTTTACAGTATATTCCATTTAGACGTTGGGCTGACATCATTTTCACATCAAAGTTTAATTAAGAACCAATGTCGACCTAATGTCAGAATAATGCTGAGAACTAAATGCGTCGTTCCGTGAAATGACAATCTTACAATAGGGTTATCATCCGAATCAACTACCCGGGAAGCAAGATATCCGTGCAATGATTTCCAGGAAATAGTATAGAATCGTATCTGATATAATCACATAATCGAATATTGTTCAGTAATTTATAGGTTCGCTGATCAATTCTAGAAATTAAAATCCATACTTTCTTTTGTTTATCAATATTGAGAACAGTAAATAACTAAAGCTTGATTGCATCGAACATTTAAAACAATGTTTAAATCACACAGAAACGTTACTTTTCAAGTGCAAGAGAGGGTTCATCAAAAACAGCGATTACTAACAGCTTAAAAGTTCATTCGTGAAAGGGTTACTATAATGATCGCAATACATTCAACAAATAAAAGGTTGATATGATGCCAACGTCGATGTTTATAAATTAAATTGTAAGAAGACATTTGCCAGATTCTCCAAATCGGAATGGTATTGAACGGTAACAGAAGTAGAACTTTGCTACCATAAATACATATTTGTTACGGCGGCTAATAAATAATCAAGATTTCCTACCTCGAGTTGAAGACCCTTCGCCAGCGTCCCAAGCGATAGTTGATGACGCATTAGATACAGTTGTTTTGTTTTTGGCCCGAAAACAGCGAACTCGTTCGGCAGCAGTTTTGGGTCGCTTCGGGATGTCCTCTGCTCCTTGCCCCCTCAATCGCTTTCGAAGATTGCGCATGTACAGCGCAGAATCGTATTGCGACATGGCACAGTTTGATTTTCTCAAAAATATCCAGCTATTCCACGATCACACACAGCGAGAGCGTAATCAGAACTGATATCGATTTCCCTTTGCCTACTGAATTTATACTGTGCGTGCGCACATCTGATAGCTACAGGGAAGTAACAACATAATGAAGTAAGACGCAAAATATTCTAAGAGGGAGGGGCTTCATTGGCTATTCTGCGAGTATAAAAGAAACTGTTATCTAGCGCGCGCGTACAGTTGCAGACAAGGCTTGAAAAGGGATCGTATGTCGTCCTGTTTTGTTATGCATGTTTTTACCATCATCCACATCCAGAGGGCCAGTCACTTTCGGATGTATGGGAATGGTAGGAAACCATTTGGAAATGCATGAAAATTTTCAGTTTTTATTCATTATCGTCTTTATGAGCAGTATTAGATGCACAAAAATTGCACGAGTACATTACTATGGTGATAAGGTAAACACTCGTTGATTTATTTTCATCTGTGAAAGCATGTTTAGTCACAAATCGTGGATTTTCTGATATCCTCCATACTGCAAAAATGATTTTCCTACCAATGAAGGGGTGACATCTCTCGAATCTTCAGTATAGCTACTACTCAAATCATATGATTAATTGCGTGATCTTGTACGTTTTATGCATTAACATGTACAGCAGCAGAGATGCCAGATTTTTTTTTCAGAAGTCTGCGAAAAATGTTTTTGAATTTCAGAAATGTATAAAATTATTAAATTAGCAGAAGTTTTGCGTGTGACGGGGGGGTCATGAAATAGATGTGAAATTTGAAATGTCAGTAAAAGTCATGTTCAAGCAAAACAGACCTGCTTTTAACGAATTAAACATAATTGGAGTTGGGAATGCATCCATTTAC